CCCCAAAACCCCAAAACCCCAAAACCCCATCATTCTATCTACAAAAAAAAATAGAAGGGAGATGAACTTTAATTAATAGAAATCATACATTATTGCTGTTACTCGGTGGGTAATGAATTTACTGTTGAGATGACCCATTCATTAATAAGAACTAGTTTTGTTAGAGCATTTGCTGCTATTGTAATAGCTAAGCTTAAAGTAGTAGGTTGATATCTAAATTTGGATTTGGAATAAACTGATTAACTTGCTGAAGTGATTAATTTAGATTCACTTGGGCAATCATTGGAGCATTTTCTATATTGTATTATAAATTCTCAGTTTCATTATTTTTCTCTATTATTTAGCTGAATAATGCTTATTAGACTGTATTTATTTCTTAGGTTGATTAGTTATTTTATTCAATTATCATTATTTCTCCAGTTTAGTTTGGAATATCCAATGCATTTGGGTCCATTATTTATGACTTTTAGCTTTATAGCAATTACTAGAGTTAGATTTATGGAGAATTATTCTTTTCAACAATGGGAGTATAGTTTTAACTCATAGATGGTAAGCGAGGAACGGAAGAGTTATTATCATTCCTACTGTTAAACCCATTCAAATGATTCCCATTGATAAACTCAATATTGAATACTTGATTCTATTGAGGAACTTGCTATTTCGCTATAAATATTGTCGTACTTTATAAGGTCTTATTTGGAGTTTTAAAGTTCTTGTTCTTAAATTAAGCTATCAATGCTTCTTGATCAAAGTCTATTTGTTTATTTTAAAATTATCTCTCATTTCTTACATCTTCTACCAATTCATCCAAAATTTTCTTTTGATATTTCTTTTACAGATGGAATTTTCCTAATTTTAACTTCTTAAAATTTTTCACTCCATCTTTTTCTTACAACTTATCTAGGCTATAGAGTTGCAATTAGCCTTCCATCAAGAAAGGTCCAATGTTATTTGCTCCGTAACCACATATATCAAAGCAATGTTATTTTTTTGTGGGGACAAGAGGCTTTCTAAGAATAAAGCTAAAACTCTCTGTCACATCTTCTTCATTGTATTTGAAGTAACCCTAATATAGACCCTAAGATTCCAAAAATTTATCAACTACTGCCTATTGTTAAGGATTGTTAGCTCTGATTGGATTTGTTGATATTTATATCTTGCTATGAGGATTTTCACAAAATAATTCAGTAAGTAAATTTTCCTCAACTGGATTATTTATTTTTTTGTAAATAAATTCCTCAGACTACTCTTCTACACTTAATCTCCAGTTTCCTTTTATAACCATTGTCTCATTGATGATCTTTATAGGATCTTCAGCATCTCTCTAAAATATCATTAGCAGATCTCCATTTAGAAGGATATCATATTATGGCTACTCTTTTTCCTCCTCAAAAGATTCTTCTAACTTTTTAACACGTTTTTTCAGACCTCCATTGCTGCCCTCTTCTTAATTTTCACCCTCCTCCTCATCATACTCATCATCATAGCTATCCTCTTCTTCACTGTCTTAACCTCTACGTTTTCTCTTCCCAAGAGCTCCTCCATTAGCTATCCTCTCTTTGAGTCTCATTCTCTTCTCCAATCTTCTCTACCTGTCATGCTTTTCTTTTTCCTATTTTTGTTTTTAAATTTCGTGATACTTTGACACGGCATTAGTAGCTCCTCTTTCTCGATTTTCCCTTCTTTTGCCATCATCTTAATTTTATACCTACTTTGTGATTTTAGATTTTACATTATCAATCTATCTTCTTGTCATTACATTGCCTTGAGTGTGATGGAGGAAATCTGTTTATAGTTGATTTGACCTGCCTTCGAATTATAATTTTTTCCTTGATAGATCTTATAATTTTCGAGATCTTATCTGAGACTTTAACTTTCTCACTTTCGTCTATTCTTTCCACTTCATTTCCTCTGCATTTTTCTTTAGCTGATCTAAGTATTTAGTTAGCTTCTCTAAGAATTCAAAGCATTCTTCTTTATCCTCATTCTCTTTTAAGAGGTTTATGAATATTTAGATCAACTCATAATCCTCAAGATAAAGCTCAAAATCCTTAAAATCAAAAGACTGTCTATATATTCTAGTGTCCTAGAAGTATGGGAAGTAATAATACTTTCCAGGAATAATTTTAACTTCAATCTCATTCTATTTTAAAGGTCCATATTCCTAAACTAGGACTCCTAAAGGCTTTAATAACCCCATATTAATAGGTTCAAGCCATATTTTTAGCTCTTCACTCATTTTAAAAGGTAGTCCTTCATCATTTTCAAATTTTGTAGGTTTAGTTTATTATATATTTTGAACTTCCTACATAAATTCTGGTGACTCTTGATCTAGCTTATTTTGACAAAGAAAATATATTATTTCTAGGCGGTATCTTGTCGGAATTTCATGATATTTCTTAAATAATACTTCCAGTTGGTTATTTTTTCCGTACTACATAGGATATTAATAATCTTCAAAGTCCTCAATATTTTCAGTATCAACAAAATTGCTCCAATAGTTTGTTTAATCTTCTTTTTGCTATTATTACCAATCTTGTCCTTCTATATAAAATGGATCTAATCCATCTAACTCCTCATTAAATAGTTTGATAATCTATAGTGACTCAGTCCTCCATTGGTTTTATAGGCCAAGTCCACCAACAGCTGCCTCATGAGAGAATCTAACAGTTAAGTTTTACTCGTTATGCTGTTTTAATAAATGCTCTCTTATATCAGATGACCATTACTGCTCAATTGCTATTTCTTTTTCCTCTACTACTTACTAGGATGCCTATTAAGATTAAGATTGCTTCTAATTTTTCCCGCCTTTCTTATTCTTTTCTGGTTTTTTTGTATTTTTCTATTCTTAGTTCTCTTGCGATTATGGAGCGTTTTTCTTAGCTAATCTAGAGCGTGTTAGTCGTTCACTCACTTGATTTAGTAAAATTTCCTACTTTATCTCCTCCTTACTCTCCTTTTAATTGCTATTCATATTATCATCTTATTTCAAATCTTCCTTCTCCTATTAAATCAACTGATCTACCTTTTATTCCTCATTCTGAAGGTCAGCGATGACTTAATCAGATTGCATTTTCAATTCCTCATCTGGGATCTGAGAGGAGAGCTACGCATTTTCATTTAGCTTCTCTAGAGGGTCCCTGCCTAAGAATTTAATGGAAAATTTGCGGTAGTTCTTATGCATCATAGAAAATTTCTTAGCCAGCAAAATATTCCAACTATCGTAATCGAGAGTCTAAAATGTCTCTTATTTAATGATATTTTCCCCATTTTCACCTTTTTTTACAATCTTCTTTTGTAAGAGTCTGCTCATTATCTCAGCACATAGAGGATCATGCTATGGCCTGAGTAAACTTTGCTCTAAGTCATAAGGCGTGACTGCATCCTTTATTTTTAGTACATTTTTAAAAAGATTGATGAACTGGCACGTGGATATCAGCTTCCAACTGTTTCTTAGCAACATTTCATCCTCTTTTGATACTTCAAGATCATATATGGTATCCATATTTGAGAGTTTATATTTTAAAAGATATAAATTATGGGGATTAAAATTTTGAGAACGTGGTATAAATACTATACACTCGGGGTTTTGGGGTTTTGGGGG